AGCCAAGTGGCCTGTATTGAATAATTCCATCATTACATGTTAATGACTTTTAGGAGAACTAATATTTATTTTTAAGTAAATTTTATGCACTCACAATAACAGAAACATAACATTTAGGACTGGTTTAATATAAGCTATGACAGTAACATTTTTGCCTATAATTGGATGCAGGCAGCATGGAGAAGTCTATTTCCAGCTAAACATTACCCGTTCTCCCCTTAATAGACTAGAGTACAAATCAAGTACAAAATGGGCTTTTGCTAAATGAAATCGAAGTGCATCAGCCTCATCTCGGTGCGCTCAGGCATCACTCACTCGGTTTCATCAGTGCTGGCAGACACCGTCCCTGCTCCCTGTGTGGGAGGCAGGCTGCCCAAGCCTGCGTGAAATATTCAGAAGTCAGCTTGCTGCTCACCTTCCTCTGCGGTCTCTGGAGGCCTGTTGCTTTCAGGTTTGTTTGTGAGAGCACTGATCAGCTGCAGTTTTTCTCGAAGCTTGGATACCTGAGAATTTGAATTATCTTCTTTCTGCCCAAAACAAAGATCAGATAGGTTTAAGGCAGAAGTGACAGCTAACTGGAGACTGCTGTATTCCCAAAACACATTTCACTGACCTTTACCAGGGCCTTCTAACATCAACGAAGGGGCGGACAAATACCAGGGCTGTCTTTAGGGCAGTGCTGAGCTGGATTTAAGGCTAGACCATTAAGGGAACATTACGTTCTCCATGATCTGTTTCACTGTGAACATTCCACTGATGGGGGAAGGCATGCATATGTCAGCAGTAAAGAGAATGTGCCCTTTCTCAGGTGCCTGTTTTATACCCGCTTCCCAGATGATGGGGGACGCTCTTTTCTGGAGCTATTTTACACTAACTAAAAGACTGCCTCAGATATCACCTTGTGACCATGTCATCTGAAGCAAAAGTTAAAAAAAAAAAACCAAAACTCAATCAAACCACAAGTATTCCCCGGATCCGCCCAATATCCTTAATGTAATGATTCAACTGGTGGCAGGAACTGTCAGACGTGAAAAACAAGTTGGGGTATTTCTAATTCAAACTGTGACTGAGTTTAACACCTTCCCCATCCCACTGCCTTCTTTCCAGCTTAATCTAGGATGGCATATAAAAAAACAGAATTAATTGCAAAGAGAGGTTTGCTTTTCCTGTCGTTAGTGTCTGCTTATTGTATGAAAAGGCCTGGTCCTCCGTTTAGAAGTGCCACTACATCTCATTTCTCATCCCCAGTGAGTTTACACATCCCTTCCTGTCTTTACTTCCACCCTAATAGCTACTGTACAGTGGTTACCTAGTTTACTTAGGGAGATCCAATATGGACATATGAATGAAACTAGATACTAAATGCTTACTCCCAGGAGGAAATGAATCTGGCTGGGATGCTTTGATGAGATAACATGAAGAGACTGATCGACTGGCACGAAGTTATAAAAGTAAAGCCAAGAGATTTAGGCAGAAATGTGGTACTGTGTTCTGATCTGACTGTTAAAAATGTGAATTACTGCTGAAATCAATACTATTTTCTCTCTCTCTCTCTCTCTCTTTTTTTTTTTTTTTGGTTTTTTCGAGACAGGGTTTCTTTGTGTAGCTTTGCGCCTTTCCTGGAACTCACTTGGTAGACCAGGCTGGCCTCGAACTCACAGAGATCCGCCTGCCTCTGCCTCCCGAGTGCTGGGATTAAAATACTATTTTCTAATAGTAACCATCTGGGTATTTTGTGTGTGTGTTCAACATTTAAATCCTGGTTCTTAAAGTTTTCTTGTCATTCTCTCAGTGAGGTTTGAAAAAAACACACAGAAGCAGTTTAAAACCTCAATAAAAGCTCAGCCTATAATGCATCAAAATCTTAAATATATACAACTTTATCTAGACAATTGCTATGGATACAATTGCTAAGGATGAAAAAGTAAAGATAGAAAGCTTTACACCAAAAGCTTCTACAGTGTGGCTTCAGCCAAGTTCATCTATGAACTTCCTATCCTCTGACCTCAAACACTGTGCGCACCTCAGATGATGCTGCAGGAAGTGTCACCTCTTCCTGGCTTTCCCTTTATCTTAGCAGGACTTAAAAGGGCTATGAAAGCGTTGGGAGTGCAATCTAAACGTGAAATGATTTGTAAGCGGGACACCATTTTTAGATTATCTATGCCTCTGTCCCCTATCATTAGTTTAGATAACTGTGCTAATTAATTTTTGTCAACTAGACACCAACTAGAGTTACCTGGGAAGAGGGAACCTCAGTTGAGGAACTGCCTCCATTAGACTGGCCTGTGGACATGTATATGGGGCATTTTCTTAATTGCTAATTGATGGAGGAAAGCCCAGCCCACTGAGGGCGGTGAAATCGCTAGGCAGTTGGGTCTGAGCTATATAAGAAAAGGAGCGGAGCAAGCCAGAGGAAACAAGTCAGTAAGGAGCCTTTCTCTGTAGTTTCTGCTTCAAGCTCCTGCTTTGGCTTCCCTTGATAATGGACTATAACTCATGTGATGTAATAAATGTTCCTCTCTGTGCTGCTTTCGGTCATGGTCACAGCAACAAAAGCAGACTGGGACAATACCTGTCTTAGTTGACCAGCCATTTCTTTGGGAAAGCTAACCTGATTCCTATGCTTTTCCACTGAAGTACTTACCAGACTTGTGACTAAGTATCTGTTCACAATAGGGGTCACATACCTATCTCACTCACTGTGGCCATCCCAGCTCCTAGTAAAGCGCTGAGCACAAGGTAGGTGCTTGGTGTGATGTTCATTAACTCACTAATACCCTAACTTACTAATTGCTCGGTCTTGGAGTTTATCACAAGAGATCAAATGCTCATCTTAGAGGGAACAGCATAGAGATGCTGATGCATTTGTTTGACTTTATGGAAGCTTCCTGTTTACCTTTATGCTCTGGGCCTTTACAGTATCAGTTCTGCGGTTCACCAAAGACTCTCTTTCCACAAGTCTCAATCAATCACTCATTCACCTTTTTCTTTTTAAGACAGGGTCTCTCACTGAACCTGGAGCTTGCCATTTTCACTATGCTGACTGGCCAACGAGCTCCGGGAATCTGTCTGTCTCTGTTCACTCCCAGATTCATGCCACTGTGTCCAGCTTTTATGTGGGTGCTGGGATATGAACTCAGGTCTTCATGCTTGTGTGGCAGGCACTTGACCAACTGAGCCTTCTCTCCAATCTTGACACTTAATACTTCTTAAACCAATTGGTCAAGTTTATTGAAAGGATATGAACCACTTTAAACACAAATGGCAAAGGGGTGGGAGAACAGAAGAGAATGGAGACGGGCACCAGGAGACAAAGTGGAAACAGAAGCTTCTAAGTATTTTAGCTACAACCTTTAACACTGAAGTACAAAGGGCAACAGAACTTCTACCCAGATCCAGGCTCAGTGTGATGCTATTGGAAGAAATAGTAGGACAGATGGACACTATTACCAACTATCTTTGCTGGATAAAAATAAGAGGGGGAGGGCAGAGACAGCAGGGGGTTAGGTGGTAAGTTTTCACAATAAGCCTCGAAAACCCTTCAAGGCACATTATTCATCAAATCATTCAAAGTTCTCAGCTCTTGCTTAGCTTAACTGCGTTCAAAAGGGCTTTAAAAACAAGGACTCTTTAATCTCCCCAGCTTTGTAGTAAATTACACACTCTTATAAAGCAGGAGGGCCCGGCAGAGGGGACAGGTCTTTCTACCCCACCTTACAAAGCCATATTCAGGCAGCTTGCCAAAGTTCACTGTGGCAGAGCCAGCTCAAGCATTCCTTACCATGTGCCAGGACTCGACTTTATGTGTGAGTTAGTTTCCAGCTTTGGCAGTTACTTGAATTTACAGTACAGTTTCCCATATTTGGTTTCCATCAAAAAATATATCACGTCTTTGCTCTATTGAACCTTCAAAAGTGAGACCTATCACTGTTAACGAAATGATCCACATGAATCCCAGCATGATGTACAGTTGAAATGTGATTATAAACAAACAGACTCTGTTCATGAGATCATGAAGCCAGCAAGCATGCGTCGCCACCACCTGGCCTGACTTTATCTTTTTAAAAATGTTTTTATTAGCAAATATTTTTATTAGCAAACAGTTATACATTATGATGGGTTTCATTATATTTTCATCCATGTACATAATATATTTATCATGATCACCTCCATCTACTCCCTCATTAACCCTTACATGTTCCTCCCACTTCTGCCAATCTTTTTCTTCCCATCTAATTCCCCTCCTCCTTTCATATCTTTTCTGTGTGACCCAGCTGGTTTCATTAGGGTTTGTTTATAGAAGCAACTTCATCTGTTTTAAATGGCTTTCCTAATATTATATGTAAAAGGTTTCCTCTAATATGCAGACAGGAGCAGGATGAATCTGAAAGCCAAGTTCAGGGTTAAAAAAATGGCACAAGATTGTTGTATCTGCCCCTCTTACCACTTGTAACGCCTTAAGAGAAAAGAGAAGAAAATGAAAAAAGGCTTCCTTTGGAAAAACATGTCCAAGTTTCCCTACCTGACGGGCCACTGGCAACACTGTAGGACTTGTCATTTCTTGTCAACAAGTTGTACTGAGTTGCCGTGTTTAAACTGACCCTTGATCTCACCCCTTTAAACACACATACCCTGTGCACTTCAGAGAGCTATGATATGGATTTAAGCAGACATAAGTTAAGCACAAGACAAATGTGTAGCCTCTTAAGTATGCCAGACTACTGTTCACAGAGGACAGGGAATATCATCTATGTCCAGACAACACACACCAACACAGAGCATGCCACAGCAGAGCTGAGAAGGCTTACCACGATGGAGGTCAGGTTTGCTCGTTTTTCTGCCTTGCTCAGTGCAACCACATCACTTTCTATCAGGCTGAGTCTCTGTGTCAGGTTACTGAGTGTCTCATTCATTCCCTCGAATTTAAGGTCACTCTGTCTCTGGTATCCCATTACAGTACTGTTGAGCTCCTCTAAGGAGTTGTGAAGGTACAGGATATCCTAGAGTGGAAATAAAAGAGTTGTGGGATCCACCTAAATACTGCAACTAGACAAGCAGGACAGGAGCATCGCAGCAACCACTGCTGCGTCAACGAGGGACGGTACTTTTCCTGGCCGTGACCACCACCTGCCTCGATCTGCTTTGCTCTTTCTCTAAACTGTTTCCAATCTGCCCTCTCGGATTGTTTGGCCTCAGCTAGACAGGAGGGTGAAGAAGAGAACTGTCTGCAAGCTCCCACTCTGGTCCCTCAAAGCGGTGAGTCTGGGAATTAATTTCTTCATGTTTACCTCATTTGCTGGCAGGAGAGCATATTGGGTTATTAACTGAAGTCCCATTAACTTAATTGGTCAGAACAAAGCTACCTTAGGAACAATACCAATTACTGAATTGGCTCATGTAACAAAAGCACAGCGAGTAGTGCATTATTTAGTACAAGATTCAATTATTTTTATTGACATATTCTAGTACTGATTGCTACTTAAAAAGGAATGATGACTCTAGGTTTTAAAGGGCATTAAACTCAGGACAGAAACTCTTCTTAGAGATTTCCTTTATTCTCTTTAATGTGATTCTGAACCCAGTATCCTTCCCCTCCTTTTGTCTTTAGACTTTAGAAAACACCAAGTTTCAAGGATATGTTTCTCAAGATTCTTAAGAGTTTTCTGTGGCTCAAAACAGCCATCACTTTGGATTTTGCCCAGATTGTTATTTGCCATAGAGTTTCAGGATAATCTGATCATTCTATGTCTTTCTCTTTCAAGATGTGAAAAGGAATTTACTTCACTGGTTGACATACAAGGGAGAAAGCAGAGTACCACAAAAGAGATAGGACCCCTAAGTATCAACATACATCCTTTCTGCTCAGTTCTCAGACAGGAGGGTGATGTATGAGGCACCTGCTAAGGCACCTACTGGGGCACTGTATGTTAAGCCCATATTCCTTAGACTGCTTCCATAGCCCACCCAAGTAAAAAGTACCTGTTTTGAACTTTCACTGTGGGGTTTACTGTCAAGTTCTGATGTAGCTGAAGATGATGGTATGATTTGGTTGCTTCCATTGGTCTCCTTTAAGAAATATTAACACAAATGGAAGTTAGTACATAAGCAACAATTAACTACTAGGTTACTTAACCATCTCTTGCCTCCTTAGGATATAGCCACGGATTAATCTACAGAAGTCCCCCAAAACTTACATTATGACCCATCTCAAAGGTGTCATGGGTATCATAGACTTTTGAGGGTGCCCAGCCTGAAGCAGAGGCTGGATAGCAGCACCCAGATTACCCCAGGAATCTGAGCTCCTCCTAGTATGCCTCTCAGTTTGTTAATGGAATGAATTCTTTAGAAACTCCTCTCTTCTCTCCCTTATTACCTGCGGAAAAACTGCATAATCAAGGGCATAGCACAGGAATGGTTCATGCACACGATTGGTCTTCCCTTAATAGATGCTGATACCTTCCCTTTCCTCCCTACTGTTCTAGTCTCTCTTTGCAGACACTTAGCTATAACTATAACATGTTTAGATACATTTTCACCCTTTACTGGGAAAAACTGTACGGCTGATTCCTTTGCAGCCCACAGCTATGGCTTAGCACAGTGTGCTAGTAGGAAGGTTAGTAGTGGTAGTCATGGAAGGTTAAAAGATGCTGATTCAGTTACAACAGTGTCATTGGCAAAACAGTTCTCCTTAAAATCTGAAATCCTAGACATTTATCAACCTTGCTTTCATACAAATTGAAGGTAAAATTAAAAAGTAAAAGATGTAACACCTATGGTTCTAGAAGCAGAAAATAGTTAGGAAAAAGTATTTTAGGAAATGGCTCATTACTTGAGAGCATGCACAAGACAAAGGAATTGGTGAGTTCTATCTTTATTACTATGGGTTACAGAGGTTCTCAGTGGCAGGTGAAATTAGAAGTGAGGTGTCTGGACACCTATGTTGAATCTTTTCCCTCTAGGTTAGCTCCACTACATAACAAACAGTGACCCACTAAATAACAGTGAGTACTAGTTCAAATGAAAAGCCCTCCTTTCTAGAACTCTCTGATGCAGCTCAGGTTCCTTGGTACAAACTGAAGTTAACTTGTTTCTTCATCAGGATAGCAAGGGCTGTGCCACCCTTTTTTCTACCTTTATAAACTCCAGGGAGCTGTTACAAAGTGGTTATTGCTTGGATGACTGTGGAGAGCTTGTACGTGCAGCTGCATTAGGAGGCTGAGATGTCTGAAAACAGCAAGGCGTTGCTTTCAGCTCAGCTATTTGTTGTTATACAACAAATCATCCTCAAATTTTGGGGTTGAAACAACAATGTTTTGTTTCTCACTATTCTGTGGGTTTACTGTATTCGGTTTGGGAGATGGTTGAGGATCAATTCCACGTGGTCTAGTATGAGATGATACATATGGCTGCATCCCACTGACTCCTGATGGGAGCTGGAACATCTAGATGACTTTTCTTCCTCCGGATCATCTCTTTCCCTGGTCTCTCAGCACCAGGGGTGTAAAAACCCTGCTCAAATCCCTGATGCTCAGAAGAGTGAGAAACAATATCTTGCTGGAGTGGTTTGCTTGCAGCAGTAAATGAGACAAGTTTCTATTTCCATCTCTTTTTTTCTGATACCTTTCTGATCTCCTTCTTTTCTTACCCTACTTTTTCCATCTTTGGAAAATGTGTTATGAACATCTCCAATACTATGTTTACAAAAGACCTAGCTTCAATTCTGTCTACCATAATGGTTTGACTTACAGACCGTAGACCAATGAGGTTTTTTTTTTTTTTTTTTTTTTTTTTTTTTTTTTTTTTTTAAAGCAGCAGAATAGGGTCTGGTTAGCTCATTGGGATCATGACACAGGAAATAGAGAGCAGGCACATGTTGCCTTTCTGTAGTGTCTATAGATCTTACCATACTGCTCTGCAGTAATTCCAAGGTTTTCTTGTGTTCATCCACAGTTTTCTGTATCGCCTCCACAGCAAGATGGACACTATTTAAAGTATTGCCAATGGAAGCCACGCTCTGAATAGAAACAATGTAGGAATATCAGTTTTCCCCTTTAAGAGCTTTACTAGGTATAACTGACATGCAATACATGCACATATTAAAAATGCATAATGAATCTGTGAAACAATTTCCATAATAGAAGCAATAGACATTATCCCCACCCCAAATTTCTTCAAGACAACCATTTTCACCTTCTGTCACTATATATTAGTTTGCATATTCTAGAACTTTACATAAAGGGAACCAATGAATAGATACCTTCTAAAGCCTTTTTTTAGTGTATCTTCTTTTACTAAGTGCAATTGAGATTCATTTATGTCTAAGCTGCTCAGCATGTTACATGCCATTATATGGTTTTATCAACTTGTTTATTCACCAGTGAATGGACATTTAGGTTTTCAGTATTTGACTATTACAAATAAAGCTGCTATAAACATTCATGTGGAAGTCTACATGTGGGCTTGTGCCTTCATCTCCCTTCATACTTTCTCATTATCACAATACATAGATGAACAGCTGGCCATATGGCAGATCTATGCCTACCTTGTTAAAAAACTTACACACTATTTTCTAAAATGGTTGTGCCATTTTACAGTTCCATTAATAGTGTTTAAGAGGGTTCCTACTACTCCATACATTCACAAGTACAGGTGCTGTTAATTTATACAATTTGCCCATTCTAATGGCAGTGTAATGGTAATGCTGTGCTTTTAATTTACACTAAAGCACTAGCTAAATAGTTTATTTCAACTGTATTCAAACTATGAATTCTATGTAACTTATACTGAAACAATTAGCAAAAAACATAAACATTCATTCTTTCTATGAATAGTTTTCCATATATATATATATATATCAAGCTCTTTTCTCAATTAAAGAAAACCACAATCTTTCCTAAATAAAATATATTTTCCTAAAAAAATTATTTATAACAGCCATATACTGAAAAATAAATAAATAAAAGAATAAATCTGGGACTCACAGATAATACACCTACCCCTAGAAAGTTATTATTTGGTGGATTTTATCCTTTTATTAAGACATACTGACAATTTACAGTGTGACATCAGTATTTTTAACCAAAGTTATTATTTTGAGAGAGTCTCATGTAGTCCAGGTTGCCATATAGCTAAGGATGACTTTGAATTTCTGATCTTCACTCCATAGTTAAACAGCAGGCCAGCAGACGGCCAGTCAAGGCTATTGGCTGTCAACAGTCAGGAGTATTAAGTGATGACTTTTGAGCATGATTTTTAGCTCTAGGAAACCCAGCTGGCAGTAGAATTCTGTCAGCAATGAGTGTACTTAGGCAACTACTTATTTTGCTCATATTAGTCCTAAAGAACCCAAGTATACAGAGGGTACGATTCAGAAGTCATTTTTAAAAAATTAAGAAATTATACATATTTGTGTGAGTGTATGTGTGGGTATGTGCATGTGAATGCAAATATCCATGGCGGCCATAAGATGTTATTGCATCCCCTGGAGCCAGAGTTATAGGAACCAAACTCCAGTCCTTGGCAAGAGCAGTATGTGCTCTTAACCAATGATCCATCTCTTCAGCTTCCATTAATTACTTAAAAAAAAAAAAATCCAAAAGAATGTTATTATTTGGTGGGTTTTATCCTTTTATTAAGACATACTAACAATTTACAGTGTGATACCAGTATTTTTAACCAAAGTTATTTTTATTATTTTGAGACAGTCTCATGTAGTCCAGGTTGCCATATAGCTAAGGATGACTTTGAACTTCTGATCTTCCTGCCTCTACCATCCACATGCTAGGATTATAGGCCTACATCACCACAGCTGGTTTTATGCGTGGTGCTGGGGATCAAATTTAGGGCTTTGTGCATGTTAGGCAAGCACTCCACCAGAGAGCTGCATCCCCAGTCTCCAAAGCAATGTTTTAAAACTACACTGAAACAAGAATTCAAGGGAACAGGAGATGATAACGTTTTCAATATTTAAAAAATTACATGGCATAAATGAAAGCCAGCTAGGTTTTGGAGATTAACTACCACTTCAAAACTGAATCATCATTTGCAATAAAAGCAGTGCCCAGCAGGGTTTGCAAAGAGATAACATTTGGGGTAGGATCTAAGTTTGGGTAGAATCTATGTAAGCAGTGTTGTTGCAAAAAGCCACCATACACTGAAAGCCACCTACTGTTAGAGAATCCTCACTGGCTGGCTGCCTGAGCCCGTGAGGACACAGGAAGATAGTGAGCTCTTGTTTGGGGGTTGTTTTTTAGGAAAGCAGCTGACAGATCATGTAAATCCTAGAATGAAACTCTGAAACTAGTATTCCTACCAACTGCAGAGTGCCTGGTACACACTGGAGGAAGCTCCACAAGTGCTTATTGAATTAACGAGAGCAAGAACAAGCCGGTTTCACAAGCCGGTTTCCTTTTCTAAGGTAAGGCTGCCAAGTTGCTTCTGTAGGGCTACAGAGGCCTGCCTTTTCCTACTTGATCCTTGGGAACAAAGGCAAGAATCTGCTTCATTAAAGTTGCCTGAACCTTTTTAATTTAAATTTTGAGAGCAGACAACCATACTGGACAAGTAGCAAATTACAGGGACTGAGCACACAAGGCTGTGGTTGTAAAACATCAACTTTTGTTTCTGTTTGTGGTTTAGCAATTGCTCACTTTGTGTAACAATTTAGATATTTATGGACAGAGCATGGCATATAATTGAATCAAACATCACAGGCTAACTTTTAAAAGCCAAAGATCCTAGATTTAAAATTAACTGTGCAAGGGACTCTTACTCCCAAAGTCTTCCTTTCATTTTTGTTATGGGGGCAATGCTCTCTGCGTTCAATCAGAAACCGTGTTTTCCCTTTCAACCCTTTTTCACTCTCCCCATTCCGCTCTAGGCATTCCTGAGTCTCATCCTTCTGGCTTCTACTTGTCTGCTGTTAACACTCCAGGGGTCAAATAAATGGAAATTACAAACTGCTGTTTGCACAAGCCTTGAGGTCTATGATGTACACATAAATAATTGTTTAGGACTCATAGACACCTTTAGAAAACAATACCAAATTATTCCCAAAGTAATTTTTTTTTTCAGTTTATACCTGAGAGTGTTTAAAAGTACCCTTTGTCACACAACTGCTTCTTAATTTTTAATTTCTGCATTTCATCTTAGATTATCTCGAAACAGCAAAACAAAACAAACAATTCAACTCCTTTCCAATCATGGAAAAGTAGAGGTTTATAGCAACTCTCGTCCACAACTGGTCTGGGCTCATGAAGACAGTGTGACGACAAACTGGAAAGGAAACTGTACCTGCTAACACAGTGGTCCCAGCAGAGCAACTCTGGAACACAGACAGACAAATGAAAAACTGTATAAACCATAAAGTAACCTGCTGAAAATTAAAGGCCCAACTGTCAAGGTTGTTTTGAACTCCACAGAACACGATGGTAGACTCACACTGCTCTTTTGGAGCAGCTGATTTCAAATGCCAGGTTTTCAAAGAGAACTCTTCAGAATTCCAGCATTAGGGTAACCATAGTGCCCAAACATGGCACTTACCTTCTGAAGTCCCTCTACAGTGCTAGGCAGGCTAAGTAAATCTGCGGCAGACTTGACATTGGCTTTCAGGTGGTTTACTGCAGAACTCAACAGAGAAATCTGAAAAAGATTAATACATAAAGAAAACACAATTTGTCGAGTATGTGCTTCCTTCACAAGCTCTATAGCTCACAATGTCAAGGTACTGTCAGCTTTCAGGAGCAGAAGAATTGCAGTGTTTTAGAAGAGCTGAGAATCAGGAAGCAGCAATAAGCCCCCTCTTTCTCTACCCAGTTTAAACTAATGCCAAGTGTCATTCTTTACCTTAGTCCTAGCAGCTGCACGGCCCTAAACTCTTAAATTACTCAAAAGATGCAGTGATTACCACACAATCCTTCAATAGTTGAACAGGAAAAAACTGATGATCAAGGACCACTTCAAAACTTCACTTTGGTAAAATAGAAGACCTATTTAACTGAACTTCTGTTCCTGTCCGAGTGGGAACATATATTATAAAGTAAAAGCCCATCATCACAAAATATAGTCCACAGGAACTGTATCCTGACAACTTGAACAGCACTTTCAACTACTCAGGGACTTGGTTTTGGTTTAATAATGTGATTAATATTTCAAACTCAATAGCTCAACCAAAGCATTACTTTGTACCCTGAAGGAGCTCAATAAATACCCACTGACTCACTGAAGGATGCAATGAATGCATTAAAACAGGAATTGAATCAAAATAAAATGTGGCTTCTTTTCTACTACTTTGGGGTAGGATTTAAGTAGCTGGACTCCTGTCTGAAGGGGACTGGGGGAACCTGTGTAACATGCAATTTCAGGCTCTGAGTTCACATTCTAATAAGTCCTGCAGTGTGACTCAAAATACTCTTCAAAGAGTCTTGGTGCCAGATTGCTTTCTTATTTTAAATTTTAGGATGAGAATAAAGGTTTGCCAATAATTGCAACAAGAGTGGCCTCATAAACACCGGATTTTCTGGGCTCTTGCTACAGGCCAAACTGGCAGGCACCAGAGAATGTGAGACACAGCAGGACCAGATTCCTTTTCATTCCTTCAACAAGTATTTGGCATTTTCCTTGTGCTGGCACCTTAGCTGCAACCCTAGGGATTCAGCCAGAACATTCTGCTAAGCTGCTTCACAATTCCCGGCATACAGAGAGTGTGAGATAATGAAGGGTTGTTGTATTAAGTCGGTAAGTTTGGAGAGCCAACGTAACCCAGCAACAGATGATTAGTATAGGTTACAAGAATTAAATGACACATGTGACTAAAGCTCAGCACAGCACCCAGTACACACGACCAAATCAGTGGCAGTTCCTCAGAAGTGAGACTGAATGAGTACTTACACATGCATCCTCCCTGGTGTTCTCAAACGCACAGATCACTCACCAACATTCTAACTCGATCCATTTCAAAACAAAAAGATGAGACACCTCATCCCACACTGAGAAATACTTTAGAAAGCTATAAACCTCAAAGAGGAGCAATTATATCAGGAAGGGTTTGTTTTTTGCCATTCCTTTAAGAAGCTATGGATAATACTGAGGCTTCAAAGAACATAAGGAAACAGGCTTATTGTTCGTGGGAATGTGAACTGGAAAAGGATTGTTTTGAAGGAACAGCCCTCTAAACCTGAAATGTTTATATCCTTTGTTCAGCAACTTCATTTATAGAAACCCATCCTGAAGATTACTTGCTCACAGGCACAAAGAAATATGCACAACAAGTCTTTTTTATTTGTACCAGCAAAACACTAGAATAACTTAAGTGCCTATCATCAGATATGTAGATATAGTCAGTGAACAAAGGATGCTACACTACACCACATATCGAATATCTCCATTTATTCACATACACACTTGGTGTAACCCATACGCTGATACATATTAAAAACTATGGTAGTTTTACAAATACATAGGAGGTGCAGACAGTATTACTGACATGAGACAACTATGTACACATGTGAAAGGAAGGTACTTCTCTCCCAGGTATGTTTTACAATTATTCTATATGCCCTACTATGTAGTATCTTTCAGACACGAGTGAATAAACTACTTTCAATGACAACTGGCCAGATCCTCAAGGGATAACACACTGCTCAGGGTGATCTGGGTAGAAACTATTCTGTCCAACATCTTGAGGCTATGGCAGAGCTAGTCCGAAGTATCTTAGGAACATTATGGTCTCAGAGAAGGCTAGTGTGGCTGCTGGAAGCTGCCATTTCACTTAAAACTAGAGAAGTAATAAAAGCCAATACAGTGGGTGGTGGTGGCGCACACCCTTAATCCCAGCGTTCGGGAGTCAGAGCCAGGTGGATCTCCGTGAGTTCGAGGCCAGCCTGGGCTACAGAGTGAGTTCCAGGAAAGGTGCAAAGGTACACAGAGAAACTCTGTCTCGAAAAACAAAACAAAACCAAAAAA